GTTATTCAAAAAAGTAAAAAACTTAAAAAATGATAAGGATAAAAAATATTTAAAAATATAATTTTTTAATAAAAACATTGGTTTTTTAACAACTTAAAACTATATGCAAAAATATTTTGAAAAAAGTCAATACTTTTTTAAATAATAAGTGTTGTTTGATAAAAGAATCACCTTGTATATMATTTTTGCATCTTTGGCATTTATTTCAAATTTTGGTTATAACAGATATACAATATTAGATTAGTGAAAATGATAGGTCATTTTTGTACCTTTAGCGCTTGTGTCGTATAGCCATATAGTTCAATATTGTAATGACATTATAATCTAGATTCATAGAATTTACTTACTTGATAAAGTATAGGACTCCATGCAGTACAGTTTCGGAAGAAACATTGAGATAATGTAAATGTTAATGTTATTATAAGTCCAACCAAGGCAAATAAAGTGATATCATGAAGTCCATGACGCAACATTGACAGCGAAGTAAAACTTACTTGTAAAAGTACAATGGAAACCATAACACAATTTATAGCTGTACTATGTATGCGTTTACTAATTTTTGATTTGCCATAAGCAAAATATATATTATAACGGTCAACGAAATGTTTAGTAACCATATACAAAAGACCTAAAACCAATAATTAACAATTTTTGGTTATATAAAATGCATCATAAACATTATTTAAATAATGCTTACCAAAGGGTGTTATAAGAGGACAAGAAAGGCTATACACTGTCACAATTGAGAATATAATAAGCATCCAAGCATACTGTACACCAAATGGAAATTCCCAAAGAATAAGTCTTCTAGCACTAGCAGATTCTGCTTTCGATCTATAAATTATAAAATAAAAATGTATTCACCTACTTAATACTAAAATTATTATTCAGTATAAAAAAAAACAAATATTAGAACTATTAATGATTTAAATTCATTATAGTTATCAATAAGAATATAAAGATAATATATTTAATAATCAMAGTATCAACCATCCATAATTTATTATACTGGATGCAGTAACAAATTCAGTTTAATTATCTACTTTCATTCATGACTAAAACAACAACTAACAAGATTAATAATAATAATTAATGAAGGGATAGGAAAATTGTAAAATAAATTCAAGACATTTAATTTCCACACAACAATATTAGATGTACAACTAAGTCCTGTTTTAGATTTTAATTTTTAAGTGACAAATATATTTATTTGAATAACTATTTATAAAATTGAGCCTCATCTCATTCCGTGATCATAGTATACAGACTCTGGTCACAGGCCAATCTTGTCCTTACATACAAAGCTAGTATCTTAGAAAAGGAATACTTAATTTAAAAAAATTCTAGCAAGCAAGTTTTATTTTTATTTCTAATTATTATCTACAAACCAATACTAAAATATTTTATAGAATTAAATGAATAATCAAAATTATTTATTTTAGATACAGCCTTAGACCATTATCGTCAACTCAGACCTTTTACTTAGTAATCATTGGCTAAAAAATTTCCAATAAAATTGAAAAACAGTTTAATAGGTTGTTTATATTATTTAAACTATACATAAACTTTTACTGAATATTGCACATACCTTGATAATGATAATCGGAGAGCATACATAAAAAGTTCTGGAAATCGTATGAGTTCTAAACTTGTTCCAATAAGAGCAGACGTAACTACATAGTTCACAAAGAATGCTCCTTTATCAGGTAAAAACACACATTGCCAACGATAAGTCTCAATACCAGCTTGAAATGCAAACATTAGGAATGCTTGGGCACTAAAAATACAAAAGATTTGTTGTATTGTTGTAGCAACAACAATATTAAAAATCTGATTTTGTAGGTACAAACTTGTTTCATGATGCATACATTTAAAATATAAAAAAATTACTTTACTTAATTTATATGATTTTTCATATTTGCAATATGTATATACTATGCATAATAATCTATAGATGATAATTTGCAAAAAATAACTTCTATTACCTACATATATGTATAACTTTTTAATTTTAAGACAATAATTTTTTATGATCTACAAAGAAAAAATACACACAAGCAATTTAAACCTCATAAAATTTTTTTTTAAGAGTTATCCTTTTCCCAAATTAATTCCCATTTAAGTACATTTTATAAAAATATAATTGCATAATATTAAACAGCATATTTGAGCTTTTTTTAAGAGCATATGTTTGCACATATGTCATTTTTTTTTAATACATTAAGTTCTTCTCAGCCCAAGTTATTTGTAAGTAGTAACCACAAATTACAGAAAATCTTTATAATATATAAGTGCTTATTAATTACGTCTTGTGTGAGTAAATGTAAGTATTATTCTTACAGAAAGTCCTAGAAATAATCAGAATTTATGTTTGTATGGATTTCTAAAAGATCTAGACAGATCAAGAATGTGGATTAAAATTTCAGGCACATCTAGTAACACTGGAACAATGGTAGCAACTGCACCTCCCAACAAAATTGTCTTGGAAGCTAAACATCCAAAGTAGAATAAAGCTTAAATAAATAAGTACATTTTGATTGATCTTCACAAAGTAATAGATAACAATTGTTGGAGTGTTTAAAATATATCTTCTTTTTTTTGAAAAAAGTTTAACATTTTTATGAGTTAAAAACAATAACTCGGATATAAAAAGCAATAAGCAAAAAAGGTGGAAAGTGGGTACCATTCTGTTGTGCAATAGTTGTCAACTATATCATTATAATGGATATGTTATACTTGAAACCAATGATAAATCATTGCATACAATGACCTTGAGTGGAGACAATTTTACCTCGTATAAATAATCAAATTTAATAACAAAAAAAAAATATTAATCAAGTATTATATTTCAAAAAGTGCCAGGCATTTATTTAAAATCAAAAGATTTTAATTCGTTGAGTTTTTCATCAATTCATTATCAAACAATGATAAAAATATAAACCTACCAAAGTATATATGTAAAATATCATAGACTAATAATGAAAGACTTTTCTCTCTGTCTTTATTACATGCTTTTCTTTAACTCACAATGTTTCATTCATTCATTTCTGTTGTCATCAAATCTTGTGAGTTCAATTTAAGTCACTTCTACATAACCTAGGAGACCATAGCAATGACCCAGTTGTCAGTTCTTGACCTGAACAAACAGGTTGCCGATGGCGGGTGTACCTGGAGGTCATCTCCAGAGGCGCAACAAAAAAAATAAATAAATAAAAACATACTTTTCTTAAATTCTTAATAATACTTATTACATGAACGAAAAAGTTGAAAATAAACTTACTAGTAAAACAATTTCTTAATGAAACTTCAAGGTTATCAAGATATTACAAAAATTGAGTTTAAAATGTATTTGTTGCAAAATTTTTAAAACTTGTGAATTACAAAAAACGAAAAGCATGGGGCTCCTATGAGTCAAGAATATCTCTTACAAAATTATAAGTATAATCAATAATCTTTAAAATATTTATCATAAAGTTTATCTAATGATTCAGTTGTAGAGTGACTTTAYATWGGAGTTATCATAAGTGCMCCATGCTTTTCGTTTTTTGTAATTCACAAGTTTTAAAAATTTTGCAACAAATACATTTTAGACACAGTTTTAGTAATATCTTGATAACCTTGAAGTTTCATTAAGAAATTGTTTTAAAAGTAAGTTTATTTTCAACTTTTTAGTTCGTGTAATAAGTAGTATTAAGAAAAGCATGTTTTAAAAAAAAATTTTTATTTTTTTCATTTTTATAAATCTTCATCAGTTTATAAATATTTAAGATCAACACATTTTAATTTATTTGGATTTATTTACAATAAAGCGTTGGATCGGAGCTTGAAAATTCAAACCTAACATTAATTCTGATTTGTATAAACAAATAAAAATGAAAATTAGTTCCATGAAGAAACATTTTGTAACCTAATATTTGATGAATGAAAATAAAAACACCTTAGAAAACGGCTAATATATTCAAGTTTTAGATATTGTTAGAAAGTTATGACTTATGAATAATTGAATACTTTTGGGAGGAATAATGTGATTAGAAAGTAAAGCAATGATTTAAATAAGAGGAATTTATTTGCCATGAAAATTACCAGTTTCATATTTCCTCTAATTTAGTTATATGAAAGCAACGCCTTTATCAGAGAGTATTATGTAACTAATTTATAAGTTAATAAGTAGAAAACTGCATATCACAGCAATTAAATATGATCCATACCAAAACAATAGATCAGCATCATCAAAACTATGTTTTAGTAAAGAAAATCCATGGACTTATAAGTAAATGATAATCAAATACTTGCTGTGTATTATGTTTCACATATTATTAAGAATATAAGCAATAACTTATTAACGAGTGACATAACATTTAAGAATAATAATAGATTCTTATCAAGTTATCAAATATATAAATACGGTTAATAAATGTAAGACAACCTCTCACACTCTTAAAAAGTTATAGACTGCCATATAAATCCTAGACTATTAAAAAAATTGTCTTGTAAATTGGCTTAACAAGTTTTTTTTTTAATCAATGTATGTCACTATGCGTACCTGTATCAATACTAACAAGTTATCCAGCTCCTCATGCATATGAATTTGTAAAAGAAGTTAAAAGAACGTCACACCTGCAGGTGTTGTCTGCAGGTGTAAGAACACTTGAATGACATACCAAATTTCCATTTGCTAATTTCAATACGGTGCTATCAGTATTGATATAAGAGTAAATTAACAATTGACCTACTATAAAACTTTAAAAAAAAAACATTATCTAAGTTTTCATGATCCGTTTTTTACGATGTTTTAACTTTTAAAATAATGAGTTGTGAGCATTTTAAAATATTAATATTTTATCAATGTCTTGATTCAAATACATATTTTCAAGAAAGTGATGATGATGACAACAATATTCAGTTACTAGCTCTTCATATTTATTTTCTTTGTTCAATGATGATAGTGCATCATATAGTTGTAACATTTCCTTTGTATTCTGATTGTTATTTTAGTGGGTATTTAAGCAAAAATTAATAGATATAAAAATTTTCGATGGTTACTTTATAAATTATGTATTTAACAAAAACACTGTTTTTATAACTGATATATATAGAAAGCAAATGGCAACATATAACAATAATTGTTTATAAAGTATAGCATTTACAGTAATTACTTCCTTTAACATTTTAAATTCAATGATTGAATGATGATTCAACTAAATAATATATTTTATCATAATACGTACCACTAGAGGTAATAAACATAATATAATATTGTTTGTAAAATAAAATTATGAATAGGATATATTTTCTTATTGCAGATTATTTTTAACAGGTTTTCTATACAGTATACGGGTATAGAATATATATATATATATATATATATATATATAGCGACAATCACACCTCCATCATCAATCATTCCATGCAGTAGTAATTTTTTTCTATTATGACACGCTATCTATTGACGAAATTCGCAATTAATAGGGTCCAACATTTTAGATGCCGTGAACCATTTGTGTATATTTTATCAATATGTTTGATGTATTTTTGAATTAGAATAAGAAGTTTTAAATTTGCATTTTTAGAGCATTTTAGGTGTTTTGGAGTTCTGAATCTAAAATTTGAATGTTATTTTATTTTAAAATTGTTCATTCTATTTATTGAATTTATATACATTTAACAAACCATAACTATGTACARATTAATAAATATAGATCTAAATCTATAAAAAAAATTAAAATCCATAACGAACAATTCTGCCTGTTAAGCTTTTACAATTCTTTAAAATTTATAGTAACATTGAAACCAAATGTTATTATTTATATCAAAATTATTAAAAATAAAAATAATTTTAGAGTATAATTTTGAATTTGTAGGGCATATTACAACCCTAATTATAGCTACTTACCTAGTTAATCCCAAAGATGGAAGTATCAAACACATAAAAAGAAGAAAAACAAACGTTTTGCGCATAATGGAATGATTTCTTTTAGATCTTGTCCAATGACTAAGCCACTGATCAGACCTTATAACTAATACCGGTAATAATGCAGCCGCAGTCCACAACAATAATGTAGGCATAAATTCTGATAAAATAGGACTCTGTTAAAAAATTGAAAAATTATTTTTTTTAAATCACACTATAAGCTATTATTTTATATACTGCGATAAAATAAATATCAACTTACAGCTTTTTCTATTTCTCTGAGCTTAAGAGTGTCCATAACATTCAAAACAATTACAGGAGTAGTCAAAAAAAATAAAATTATCACTAAAAATGAATTTGTTAATACAATTTTACAATATCGATTGTGAGATGGTTCAGTCAAATTTTCCCTAGAACAAAAACCCATAACTAATTATTTTAAAACCAACATTGATTGTGTATAAGCATTATAAATTTGTAGTTAAGGATTAGTAATTAATTTGAAATAATTTTTTAGCAATAATTAAACATTACATTAATCAATTTAATTATTTTTTGAAATAACATGAAAAATAATAATAATAATATGAAGTAGTGAAATTTCAATATTAGTAAATTGATAAATCCTCATAAAGTTTGTTTAAAACTTTATTACTTATGGATATATTATTTCATATCTTAACTAGAAAATATGCATATTAATAATATAAATTACCAAAATATATCATCAGGAGGAGKAGCAAAAGTTACTCTCCAACGATAAGGCTGAAGTAGACCCGCTACAGAACTGGTAGGTGGATTATGACGACCACATTTGGATAACTTGTAAACGTGATCTTGGTGAATGAGTCTAGCTGTATGTATTGTTGTCATAGTTACAAAAGCTATACCAAGAGGTCTCTTTAAAGCGGATTCTTTTTCTGCTTCTAACTAAAAGTAATAAATAAAATAAGTAAATATAATAAATAAGATAGGTTATCTTAGAGCCGGTTGCTCTCTGTTAAGAATATATTGTACTAACTATAAATGTATAGATGATAACAGATATTATAAGATGAGCAACATTAATAAAGCAACAATAGTCAACTATTTCCTAAAAATTTTAATGATCAATAATGTGACTATTACAATTGTGCAGATGCTGGTTATCTCAAGAAACATAATTTTGTAAAAATTAAAATTTTAAATTATCATATTCAATATCCATGAAAATAATCTCATCTTCATTACATGATCATTGTAAATTGATTCTGATTACAGGCCGACCAGTCTTATTCTTACGTACAACGCCAATATCTTATACAAATACACTTAATTACATAAAAGTCTAGCAAGCAAGTTGTATTTTTTTTTTCAAATTTCTATCTATAAATTAATGCAAAAATGTTCAATAGAACTAAATTAATTATCTTAATCAATTATTTCAGATACAACCTTAGGCCATTATCAACAACTCAGACCTTTTACTTAATAATTACTGCATAGTTATAGCACATTATGTTCACCATTAAAATGGGGTATAATAAAAATTTACATTTTGAATTAATAATTATATTAACTCAGATTTACTAACAATTTATAGAACAATGATGAAACCATATGCCTTAAATCAATTCAAACTATTATTTGTGCAATATGTGATCAACCACACAAGTTAGAATGAACCATGTACATTATAATAATCATTGAAGTYCCATTATTTAATAGATAATAAATTTGGCTATAGCATAACTATTGAAGTTGTCTTAAGATTGTTGATAGTGGACCTTTTTTAAGGAGTTGGATTTAAGCAATATACATTGAGGGTGCTGTGGGTATAGTTATGGCAGACCACTAGCATTCATTCCTAAAACACTTTAGATAATTGAAGATAAACTACATCTAAAAACCATAGCATATGTACGTGGAGTTACACTACATTATATTTTGCGATCAAATAAATATCGACTCCTTTGACTATAGAGGTACCAAACAACGAAAGAAAATTCATCTGGTAGTCGGTACTGAAAACCTGATTTTCATTTTAAAGATATGTTTGAGTCTCTTATTTTTTAATACTGTAAGAAATAAAATTTCGATCTATTAAATTATCTAGTTAGTATAGAATTAAATTTTTTTTAATGTACTGTAATGTCAATAAAAAAAAATAATAATTTCTTACAAAACCTTGAAAAGAAGCAAATATTTTTAAATATATTTTCAAAATTTAAATTGGACTCATGAAAGTATATATATATATATTTTTTTTTGGTCTGAATTCACGGAAAAACGATTCACTCTCAACAACCTTAATTACAATATATAGCAGGTACATCTCAAAACAAGGAAAATATTCTACTTTTCATTGCATTTTATTTTATCCATGTGACAAAATTAATGAGTGAATTTTATTCAATTATTAATTCTGAAAACGCTATATTAGACTTGAAACTTTTGAAATCAACAAATGTTTGCTAAGGTAAAAATATAAATGCAATGGAGATTATATTATAAATAGATGAGTTGAGATACTTCCAATAGTTCCGACTTGGATATTGAAAATAGTAGAAGGAATTACAGATGTTGAATATAAAGGGACCAATCCTTAAAACTAACATCGTCATTTAAAAGCATCAAAACCGGTGCGTTTTTAGAAGAAAAAAATTATCTCTTGCATGAAAAATCATCATACCTTATAGAAAAGTCGGATTTTGTAATTTTTTTTTATTTTCTTTAAAATAAGAGAAAATTTTTAAAGTTGGATTAAATGCTGATTTAATTTATTAATGAGAGGCAAGAGTTAATCCCATCCCGTTAAGTATTTTTTGTTGAATAGAGGAGTTGGAAAAACAGGCAGTGACACCTATAAGTGTTTTAAACGGATATTATTAATTGTATTTAAAATTATTTTTATTATTATACATACCTTTATACTATTTAATTTTACAAACATGTTTGATGAATGGCTTAAGAGGATGTCAGCGCACTATTTGTTTTCTCTCTCTGACCCACGCGTAACATAGACAAAATGCATTTACGAAGAATCATTTTTTCTATGTCTTTAAGTAATTTTAGAGTAAAACCTTCCATTACAAAAAAGATAAAGAATAATATTTTTGAGGGAATGAYATATCRATTTTATATTTTATTGATATTTGACTTTCAAAATAAACAAAAAAACACTGTACATTTAAATAATGTTTAAATTATTAAGAGACAATATTTAGACAAATCAATATGTCATTCCCTCAAAAATATTATTTTCTATCTTTTTCGTAATGGGAGGTTTTACACTAAAATTACTTCAAGATATAGAAAAAATGATTCTGTGTATATGCGTTTTGTCTATGTTACGAGTGAGCCAGAAAGAGAAAACAAATAGTGCGCTGGCATCCTCTTAAAGTAACAATAATAATGTAAGCAGAAATCGTAAAATATTAAAGATTTAGGAGTTTAATTTTTTTAGTAGACATCCTATCAGTATAATATTAACAAAAGAAAACATCTATGTTACTGTTATCTAATAGTTAAAATAATCAATCATTTAGTAATGGTGCTATCCAAATATCAATTAAGTTTAAAGTTATATTCAGAGTTCCTATGTGTGTTAACTTAAATATTTTTTATAGTCATTCTATTATTAAAGATATTTATATAATTTCATCGTCAGACTACTAGATAATACACACTTATTTCAAAAGCCATGTAGTTCTGTGATTGAATATTAACTAATGCTAGTTGTAATTACAATAGTTGCTTAAATTTGTAATACCTACTTAACAGATTAATTTAAAGAATTAAATGAAAATATTTTAATACATCTTTTAAACCGTTTTAATCCTATCATATAAACGTATCAAGTTATAAAAACCGTTAAAAAATGTAAACCATTTAAGTTAAGACATTCGCACTATGTAGTTTAAGAATTTAAAATCAATTTAATTTCAAACAGTTTTAACTAAGGATGGGCAAATACTAGAATGGATACCCAAAAAACCTATCAAACTGCATAGTATATCACAATTTACAAATACACAGGTTAGGTTATCAATATTAAATAATCATTTATTACCATTAATAATCAATGTTTTCAAGGTAATATTTATGTTATGGGGTATAGGTTTTATTATTTATCAGTTGATAGTATCGGCTCATGCGTTTTGTTTTAATATTTCCATATATTATCGGGTATCGGTTTTATATAAGCAGCACATATTGGAGTATCGGATATCGGTAAAAAAGTGGTTTTAACGCCATCATATAAACAGTAAATATGCTCTTCTTTTCAGTCAGAATGTTTATTGTGCATGTATTATAGTATGAATGCCTTGGGAATTAAAAATGAATTGTTCAAAACATACTATATAAAAATAAATATAAACAGCCGTTATTAATATTACATGATAACTGTTAAGCAATTACATAGATTTTTTCACCAAGTATTTAAATTATAAAACACATTTTTTTTAAACAAGGTTACTCTATAAGACTTAAATAACAAATAACCAACAGTTTACTAAAATTGATGTCATAAATTTCTTACTTCTGTTTTTAGCCGAGCTTCTTCTTGAGAATAATAATCAATAGCATCTAAATTATTAGAACTACAGAAACCGCAACAAATACAAATATAACCACAAACATGGGGTTGCACTGTCAGACGTTCACCTACAGTTTTTAAATGATTTTCACAATATTGTCTAGCTTGAACTGCAGCATTTCTATACATATAAACAAATAATAATTAATAAATAATAAATTAAACTTTATAAAATATTAACTAATTATTTATGATATAAAATGTTATATTAAGTTAACTAGTAATAGTTCAATATTATAGAGGCTCATATTTACTAATTACTAAAAAATGTATTTAATGTACCTGTCTCTATCTAATTCATTAGCTTTGTTGACATCATACGCAAGTTGAATATTTTCTACTTCACACTCGGGATATGCCTCTCTAAAAATTAGTTGAGTATAATTAATAGATACCTAATATTTAACAATTTGCAATGATATCGAAAAAAAAAACAAATAATCATAAAAAATACTAACTTAAAATGTCGATCCATATCATTTATGTCAGAATTTCGTCTGGGAATATTTGTTATCATCAACGTACGTGACCAACATTCACCATTTTCTTCTAATTTAAGATTTACAGAAAACCTTCTCATAATGCAAATAGTTAATGGAAAATATAACATGGCTATAGTCACATGTACCCAAAGCCAAGGTGAACTAAAAATGAACAGTTTGTAAATTATACACATATACTAAGACAACATATTAAAAGGACGTTATACCCGCATGTCTCCTTTTTCCAAGAGCGTAACTGCGTAACATAACAAATTGTACACTCGGCAGATCACGTTTAGCTCTGTCAGTTTAAATGTTAGAGTGAATTGACATTTAAGACAACCTCATGAGCTTTATATTATATTTTGATTTAGAAGTGAGTTATAAGTATTTCAATATAGTAAATTGTTTTGTACCACTTAAAAAACTCATAACTCGCTTTAAAATTAAAATATAATAACAAACCAACAATATTGCCTAGGTATCTTACCTTTAAATTTTATGAGAGGTCAATTCACTCTAGTTTTTAAACTAACCGAGCTAAACGTGATCTGTTGATTGTACACAACTTGCTATGTTATGCAATTGTAAGATGGAAACAAAACATGCGGTTATAATGTCCTCTGAAACTTTACATTAAACCAGATAAAGGCACCAAAAACWGTAGCATAGATTTTATGTAATACTTTAACCTAAAGGGTGTTTACACACACATGTATGCACATTATTGTTTGCTATTCAACATGATCATACGTGAACGTGAACATACATTTGTATTTAGTTTTATGTATGGATGTACATACACATATTGTGCTATGTACTAACTAATGCACACAAATCAATCATAAAAACTAAACGCATATCTTGAGGCTTGTTATCAGAGTTAATTAAATGTTCAACAAACACATATAAAATTCTCACAAATAACATGACTGCTCTCTCATGCTTATATCTATATGTTACTTATGTAATCCAAACCAGACATTGTGAGTTCTAATAATATAACTTACTCAGGATGAAGATTACTAACAGTAGTATGTCCAAATGATCTTTCATCACCTTCTAGATCACCAGCAAAATTTATTGGAAGTACCACACCTAAAGAAACTGCAGTAATTATAGCCATTAACACCATTATGTGCCTTTGGAATGATAAATATTGAACAGCATCGTAACCACATTTACGTAAAATTTTTTCATCTCTAAAATAATAGGATACAAATAGGTATAGCGAGTATTCACATTATGAAAAAAAATATTTAAAAAAAATGTTTTATTACCTAAGTTGTATAATTGTTAAGAACCAAGAAAATAAACCTCTATCAACAGGCATTGAGTTGTCTAATGTAGTTGTAGAATTACCATCTTCAATGTTATTCTCTGAATTTTCATCAGTTGTACCATAAAATATACGAGACCACCTAAACAAATTATTATTCAAAATAGTATGAATACATAAATTTTTTTTTTAAATCTTACTTTTCATAATCTTTATTGACTAATGCTAAACGTCCATAATCCCATGCTCTTTTCCTCATGAAAGCAAAAAATAAAACTAAGAGCTGAAACATACATTGTAAGTTGTGAATTTGTGATTCATATATAGGAATTATTATTAAAAATATTCATACTTACAACACACCCTAAGGCATTGAGTAAAAGAGTTTCAGGTATTCCTTCATAAGCTGTAATAAGAAGTCTATTTCTCGTTCGATTATAATAATTACATTTATCTTTAGCAGGACCATTAAATTCATGAAATATATTGCTATCCATCTTCAGTTAGTATTCCTATAACAATACATCAAAAACAGTCGAAAATTATAAAACCAAATTAGATACCTATATAAGCAATTCAGTATTTATGAAAACCTTAGATCATATACTATGGATGTAGCTATGGGTATAATTGTGTCCAACATCATCCATCCCAAAAGTTAGGGGCATGCACATTTGTGTAGTGTACCGTGAAATTCTAATGGTGGTGTGGATGATGTTGGACACAATTCGGTATACGCATAGCTCCATCCATAGTATATGATCTAAGATGAAAACTATACTAAAACTACTAAAACTGTACATTCAAGTGATAAAATAACTGATTGTGTCATGAAAGAATTGAACAATAGATTGATAATGTGAGCATTACTGATTAGATCAGGAATCAGATATAATTAACTGATTACGTGAAAACAACTTAAGATAAGAATAAGCATTTTTCAATTCTTCAATTAAACAATTTAAAATGTTATTAAGTAACTAATGTACTTATATTCAACAATTACTTAATATCTAACAAGGAATTGGATATTTAAATACTGATGCTCAAAAGTTATTATTCAAATTTAATAGGTACCTATTGAGTTAGTTTACCACAAAAGAGTTGTCAATAATTGTAAATTAATAAATATTTTTATAACCGTAATAAAAGTTACAATAAAAATAGCAATAAAAGTAGCACACCCAATTATAAGTTATAATTTTGATAATAAATAAAATGAATTAGGAAATGTAATCTATAAATATAAATATTTGCTTTTAATAAAAACTAAAGTAAAATTGACATTTTATAAATAGTATTACAAAGCATAAAAAATTAGTTAGTCTCCTATTAATTTATTTTATTGGATGGATATAAAACACACATACTAAAGAATCTAATCATTAACAAAATATTCTTCGAAATGTAAAAAATGATTTTTTATTATATGTATACCACTGTATACCAGGTGGTAAACAGACGTTTCGCCCCGTCAAAAAAACCAGTCAACGGAAGTTTTGTCCCCGGCAATTTTTAAGATAGGACGTTTCGTCCTGGAGAGTTATAAGACATAGGACGTTTGGTCCCCGGTATATTTTGATTAAGGGACATTCGGTTCTCGGGTTCTACGGTTTCTCAATAAACAGCATTCAGACATTAAATTATATTAAATTTCGAAGTAATAATACTAGGAAACTTATACTAGCAAACAAGAAAAAAAATAACAAACGCTTGGAAAATTGTATGACTGAGTACATTAATGAGAAGCTTGCGTGAATTGAATACTTAAAGAAAGTTTACTTCCAATTTGCAAATCAACGATTTTAAATAATTATATTAATTATATTTTATATTTTATTATTTGTATTTTGTACCTACTCCAGTGGCGGACGAGAAGGGTTTTACTGTACCTTTCAGTTGAAATAAAAATATAATAATATTATTATAAATATTTTTATTTATGCATAATTTAAAATTAATTAATTAAATGTTAATAGTATCAACCATATAGGTATATTTTTAAAATCAAATTGGTTAACCCTCGATTACACACATTAAAAATATTTATGAGGTTCCACGCACACGGTGTTTTTGACTGTGTAATAAAATATTTCAATTAAAACTCGATAAATTGAAACAATCATTATTTTATTGATTTTAAATAATTTTTAAATCAAAAATTAAAAATTAATAATTTTAAATCACTTTATTGATACATAATATAAACAAATTAAACTTCGTAGTTACACACAGTATGGCGAACCAATGTCAACTAGCAACAATCTTGCCAGTCTCAATGAAAATAAAATATTCATTTATGTTTTATAGATAGAAAATAACGTCTTATCGGTGATATGAGATTTAAAAAAAAAAAACCATATTTTGAGTTTTCATAAAATTAAATTGTGTATTAATGTCACATTATACCACGCACATGGTCTTTTAGACGGTATATTGATAGGTAGTGAACTTTGAACCCTTCTATAGTACAGGCATCAAATCRTAAACAGTCAGGAGTTGTATCTAATTTTAGTTTATCATCTAATTAGAAGGTACATAGCTTGAGTTAGGTTAATATTTCGTATTTTTGAAACAATGAACAAAATTCTAAAAGCCCGGTCTTTTTGACCGTGAAGCATGTGCTGTACGGTTAATGGAGATAAAAGAGAAACTTTAAAATAAATACTAAAATATTAGTTATATTCTTCATTAACCTTGTTTACAAACTATATATTTACTATAAATTCAATTCATGATTAAATGTACCAAATATAAGCAACTTGACCACTGATTAACTTATCATCAAATTGTTGAATATTTTCCAAAGAAAGCCTTCTTAATTTCAATCTTTGTCTTCTTCCACATACCTCACTTGTTGAAATACTCTATAACCATCAATTTAAAACCCACATATCATACCTGATTGTTATTCTTATTGTCTGACCAGTTTCTTATCATCCCTTTTAATTCTCAACAACTATAAACAGAATGATACTAAAAAAAATCAATCTAGTATTTATAAATCAAAACACGATTCCAGACACTCAATTTGAATTGAAAACACAATCTTTCCTACATTAATTCCACATGATAATTTAAGTTATATGCCAATCCCTTGAAAATAAACTATGATGTACATGTATGGATTGTTTAGGATGTCACTCAAACTTTTGATTATGAGCGATTTCTTTGAAAATTTAGGTTATTTTCTTCAGGACTTTTTATTATTTATAATACAACTGTATAGGTACAAACAAGCAGTATCTTTAGTAAGTGGTGAAGATGAACTGTCCTGTATATATAACTAAAAACAGATGTTCCATAGGGTAGCAGTTTAACTCCAGTTTTATTCATTCTGATATTACCCACTCAGGTTTTGGATATCTTCGCTAATGATACTGGCATTATCTTAATGATAAATTCATTCTAACTCCTCAAACTCGAGTGACCTGAGTCAGGTCCTATTTCCATTCAGAGTAAATTCTATTGTAAATTGTCAATAAATCAAGTCAAGGATGCTTACAAGAACCATCTCACTAGGCCTGGCAGGTATTACCTACAACTAACTAGGTATAAGGGATCTAACTAACCCACTTACTGGGTACTTACTTCGTTGAACAGCTGTGTGGTGTCAATGAGTCAGCTTCAGTTCAGTCCATCGTGCTTGAAAACATATCTTATTTTATAGGCGGAACAGTCATAGCGTGAAAGAAAATATTGATAATATGGATGAAAAATAATATCTTCCGATAAACACTACAGTCGTATGACGCGGAGTCGTATCTTCGAAGAATTGACTAACTCACGATATTAATTTCCGTTGATATTTGGTATTCCAGTTGCGACGGAAAAAGAAGAAAAAATATTAACGACGGCAGACGGAACAATGATTAATGATGTTATCTTTTTTTATCTACACATAATTAGTTATCAACAATCATAATTCCATTTCGATACGTTAATAAAAACAAAGCTCTTGACCGGTAGGAGTGGTAAGAGGTATCGAGTTCGGAGTGTTCGGACTCCGGATGTCAAACATCTTAGTCGTCCAACGACTAATTTTTTATCTTGAAACCATCAACAGAATCGAAAATTAGTTTTTATGGATTTACGACGTACGCGCGGGTATACGCCTTCACGGCTTGCTTAACACACCTACTACAGTTATACTACCGTAGTGCCGCAGCCGTTATCGATTTGAGCTCAGAAGCGATAAAACATAAAACTATAAAAGCTTTAAAACGGAACTATGGCTGGCGCGTGGTTAAGTAGTAGTTTTCAAGCCACTGACCAGACCAGTACCCACTAACCGCGACTGAAACGATGAGTCTCTTGGTGGGAGGCACTCGCTGTGTGTACCACGATAACCATAGACCTTGTACTTGTAATCCTGGTATAAAGTCTTAGGTGGTATGGGATGATAGTATAATTAAGTACGATCGCGGTCACTGATAAGCAGACGGTAACACACGGGACGACGTGTCCGAATCCGAATATTCCGAACGCCAAACAATCGATAACAGGGTCCGTTGTTGCGCAAGCGCCAACAACGGTCTTTGTCTCACTAGTGAAGTAGACAAGTGACTACACTATGCAGCTGGTATAGTGGTATGTAGCTGCTGCATAGTTGGTAGGTATAGCCATGATTTTCCCAGTTTCCCATTAGGTAGATGGCACTCACACAGTCACACACGCACGGGCTCTTTCACTATCACACACCACACACGACGTCGTGAATACGGTATGTTGAATAATGATACTACAGTAACAGTATCACTGATACTATTAATTCAGTGGTTCTCAAGCTTTTTTGGTTCACGGCACAATATTGTACAAAACAAGTTTTAGAATACTCTACACAGATGTAATGAAATAAAGTACTGTTTTCAATATTTTTTTACCAATGTAATCATTACTCATTAGGTAATCACAAATATCAGAAATCAGACAATAGACATTTCTCGCGGCACATCGGCCGAGAGCCACTGTAAACGTTGACGATGCGTATGTGCACTGTGTATACCTACCTATATTGATTTATCAATGACAGTATAAGGGCTTCGTACGTTTTTATTTGAGGGTGGAACTATCGATTTTTAATTATTACGGTCGACGGGTTAGGTTTCATTGTTTCACCTACATAATAATACGTAAAATAATATTACATTTTGTGTTAATAGATTCTGAACGAATCAAGGAAAAAACCATAGAAAAAAAACCAAACGAAAAAAAAACCATGAAAATAAAAAGCAAATTTTTATATTTTGCCATATATTATTATGTCATATTTCATTAGACATAAGTTTTAATTTCTAATTAAAAACGTAGATCAATAATAATTCAACTGCCCAGGTGTTTTATCTGTTGAATACTTTCGTAACCAAATTTGTACATTTTGAACAATTAAAAATAATAAATATATATTTTTATATTTAAAAATACATAAAACAGCTGAACTTTGTTATACCTACTTTGTTTTGGTAGTAGCAAATGTCAATTTAGTGCAGGTTCTTCGAGATGGTATGTGGATGGGGTATCCGGACAATTTCCCCCCGGACATTTTCCCCCCGATTAATATTAATATAATTTATTGTTTAATAAGAAATTACTTTTTTTTAAATAAAATATTATTTTTATATTAAGTAATATTATTTCCTCCTTATTTATGGAATTTACATAATGCTATAAAGAAAAACACAGGTAGAACTAATAATATAAGTGAAGGTTTCAATAATAAATTTATAACTTTAGTAAGAACTCAGCATCCAAATATTTGGATGTTCATTGAAGCACTACAAAAGTCAAATTCAATGGCAATTAATAAATTATTAAAAATTAAAACAGGTACGGTTTTTTTACAAAATAAAATAAATATGAAAGACGATTACAAAATATATGCTTAGATATAAAAAAAGAATCAGAAATTAAATGTTTTTTACAAAATATATCATTTTTATGTCGAAATTTTTAGACTATTATCCTTATATAATTTTTTTACGTTTTATTATACAATTTTTATTATATTTATGAAAAAAAAATCTAATTTATAGTATAAATTTATAAAGTTAATTATAGTATAATTGATTATATTTATGAAAAAAATAACATTTTATTCAAAAAAAAATAATTTCTTATTAAATAATAATTAATATTATATTATTCAATAATAAACTTTAAAAAAAAGGGGGGAAATGTCCTAGGGGAAATTGTCCACCATTCTGTGGATGGAAACTTTGCTTTGGCTTCAAAACTTTTTAGTCAGCTGTGTGTCATACGTGTAGAAATAAATAGAAATTTTACAACAGCAGTATACATTCTCTTACAGAATAAAACTTTGACAACTTATGAGTAAATCCTCACTACGCTTTTAAAAAAATGTGAAGAATAACATTTATTTCCTGATCCTGTGGTAGTATACATGTTGATTTTTAACGTGCAGTTATCACAGTTATCAGTTATCACACATATTCTTGGACAAGATATACACATTCAACATTGTTTCTACCATTTAACTCAATCGACCTATCGGAAATTACAAGAGTTAGAGTTGCAGACCCAATACAGAGAAGATCAAAATCCAATCTAATTTTGTGGAAAAAATGGATGGCTTGTCATTTTTACGCGTTGGAGATGTCAAATATGGTATGGTATATTTAAAAACACTGTTCCTGAGTAGGCTGAAATTTTATTAAATTAATTCGATACAACATACGTTAATGGCAAATACAGGCAAGTTAGAAATGAAAGTAACAGAATAGTCTTAAGAAACTGCCCCCCTATTTTTCCACTAAACTTATGGAACAATTCAACTTATTAAATGATGAAGAACGTACGAACAATTAAACCGAAGGATGGAATCATAGGTTTAGTTAATTAGTAGGACAAACACATCCAACAATTTCAGTGCCATCCTAACCACCAATAACGCCCTAGGGCAACAATATTTGACGCCCCTCCGGGACCCTCCCCCTCCCAAAAAAAAATATTGACTTCATATTTTTAATTAACCTCTTACCTTAAATATGTTAAATACTTATTCATTAAAGGTTCCTGCTTATT